CCTGTGCGTGCCTGTGTCTCCCTGTGTGTGCCTGTGTCTCCCTGTGCGTGCCTGTGTCTCCCTGTGCGTGCCTGTGTCTCCCTGTGCGTGCCTGTCTCCCTGTGCGTGCCTGTGTCTCCCTGTGTGTGCCTGTGCCCGCGCTGTGCCAGGTGTACCCCATGTGGCTGTGCCCCTTCGTGCTGCCCAGTCAGCCTGGGATGGTGCACCCCAAAGGGGACGAGGACGAGCTGTACGTGGACATCGGCGCTTACGGAGAGCCCCGGCTGAAGCACTTTGAGGCCCGAGCCTCCACCAGGCAGCTGGAGAAGTTTGTGAGAGACGTTCACGGGTAAGAGGCGGGCAGGGACCACATGACTGTCACTAGAAAATGGTATTTTACTTTCCAGTGATGTCACACAAATAAAGCACCATTACATGGGGGGTAAAATAGGGCAGAGCTTGGACCTACCACTAGTGTATGATCACATAACTAAAAACTAAAAGGTGGGGTCTTTACTATTTAACCTGATAACAATACCAGCATTTGAGACATCCCTGCAGACTCCAATGACTGTTTTGCAGTCCCCGTGTTAGACCGAAATGTTGTGGTCTTCCCACTCTTAGATTCCAGATGCTGTACGCGGATGTGTATATGGACCGCCAGGAATTCTGGGAAATGTTTGATGGCTCCCTCTACCATAAGCTGAGGGAGAAGCTGGACTGCAAGACGGCATTTCCCGAGGTTTACGACAAGATCTGCAAAGCGGCTCGGCACTGAGGCACAGCCAGCAGAGCAGGAAGCTCAGCCTCCAATCCTGCATTTCACCCCATTTCCGTGGGGAAGAATAACCCACAGTGTATGAGACTTGCTGTACATTCTTACAAATTTGAACGATGCAGAATTCGGGTTTTTCTTACCTTTATACATGTTTGACTGCAAAAGCAATTCGTCAGCCTTGGATGTAACACTGTGCCCAGAACTGTGATGTATCTCATGTGAGAATTGGGATTATCTTTGTAATTCCGATGTATATTTTTCTACCTGTAGTGTGGGACACAGACTGAAATCATGTGTCTCAGATTAGCACAAATAAGCATTGAATTATCCTTAATTAAAGGGACAGTTCAACCAAAAATTGGAAAAAAGATATGGAGCTTAGATGGAGTTTAGTGCTGTCTATCTGTCTAGGTCATTCAGCTGGGAGATGCCTTGTTGAGATATCGGATGTTGGTCTTCTCTCAAATATAATGGGAGTGAATGACATTCTTTCTGTGGTAATTAAAGGGCCAGAAAAATACATTTGAAAAACTCAACAGCAATGTCTCATCAGAAATCATGATGCCGTTATTGAAGATAATCCACAGACTTTGCAGAGAGCAGTTTAATGTAGGAACTATTTTCTGTTACGGAACACCACATACCAGCCGTATCACTGTGCAGAAGATAACGCTACAGTACTCGTGCTCATATCCGATGGAGTGCCCCTCTGAAACGCATCTTTTTTTTTTCTTTTTTCAGTTTTTGGGGTGAGCTGCCCCTTTAATGTTTCTTCAGTCATTTTCCTGAAAGAGCACCTAGTGACCATCTTGTAGTCTGTCTCTCCCAAACTAACATGTCCCATCTTTAAGTTAGATTAGCTTGTCTTGTGTCTCTCTTTATTATGATTGTGTGCTATTTGCTTCACTTGTACATCACTTTGCACAAAAAAGGTAAATAAACCAGCGTGTCTCAGTGGGCTAAGCCTGTGTACCTGTAGCCTAATCACAAGGTCACTGGTTCAAACCCAGCCAACTCCCAGCTCCCTGGGCGCCCCAACAGGTGGCTGCCCTTCACAGACAACTTACTCTTCAAAGAGCAAGGTGACGGAGGCGTAAAAACAATTTCCCCATGGGGATCAATGAAGTATCTATTATTAAATGTAAATCTCATTGAAAAGTTTAGGTTTTTAATGCAGTGCTGCCTGAGTACGGAATCAGATTTGTGCCAAAATTTTCAAACAAAACTTTCCTAATATCAAACAAAATTCATTCAATATTCATTCTCGCCTGTGAGTTTTTCAGTTTCGCCGCTGGCTTTTCATTCACTCCGCCCCGTTTTTCGTTTCCACAGTTTTTTCAGTTTCGCTGCTGGCTTTTCATTCATTCCGCCCAGTTTTTCGTTTCCACAGTTTTTTCGTTTCCACAGTTTTTTCAGTTTCGCTGCTGGCTTTTCATTCATTCCGCCCCGTTTTTCGTTTCCACAGTTTTTTCGTTTCCACAGTTTTTTCAGTTTCGCTGCTGGCTTTTCATTCACTCCGCC